AGGAGATTGCTTCCAGTGACGAGGAGTCATCTGCTTTCTCTCGTCCTGCAACCCACATATCCTCCTCTTCTCCATATGATGCCCTTATGCCCCTGCCTCCTATGGTGGGAGATAACTTCCATTCTTTCCAAGAACTCTACAAACGAGTTGCAGATGTCCTTGAGATCTCCCTGGTCAGGCTCTCTGAGACCCAACACAAATTGATCAGCATACTTCACACCTCACCAGCCTTCAAACTGGCCTTATCCAAGGACCCTGCCAAAATCATATGGCAGATGCCAGCCATGATTCCACGGGTCTGCAAGAGATATGACTGTAAATACTACGTGGCCCCACAGGACACAGATTTCTTATTTTCCCATCTGTCCCCCAACTCGATAGTGAAGGGTACAGTTAACCAAAGGGGCAAACAGCGCCACGCACACTACCCCATACAATAGAGTGGAAGTGGTTAGACCTCGTGGGTACAAAGGCTTATTCTTTGTCTTCTCTTTAGCTTCATATATCAAATTACACAGCGATGTTGGCAAAATACACCCACCACCTCTTTGAATAGCTCTCACTCTTTATTGACAATTTATCGGATGACAGAAAAGAACAATTTTCTGCCAATATAAATGAGGGAATGTTGATCTCTCGCACGGCCCTACAGGCCACCCTGGACACATCCGAAACAGCTTCCTGATCCATCGCAATCACCATTGTGATTATGAGGTCCTCCTGGCTCCACTTGTCAGGGTTTCCTCATGACGTGCAGGCCATAATAGAGGATCTCCCCTTCCAACGATCAAAGAGGTTCGCTGACACCACTGATGTGTCCCTCTACTCACTCAAGGATTCCAGAACAATGTTGAAAACCCTTGGAATACACGTACCTGCAGCCAAGCGCAAACAAAACATATTTTAACCAGTGATACAAATCTTCCCCTTTCAACCGATCTCAGAGGCATTTTGACAATAGGAGGAGAGAACGACAAACCAGGTGCAGACAGGCCACTGACCAACCTGCCACATCTCAGCTGTCGACCTGAAGGCAAACGTTTTGAAGGTCAAGTCGAGGGTCTGATATCATCCCTTCATCTGGAACAGCCCCAATCTCATCTGCTATTCCGCCAACATCTACTATCCTTCTTCTACCACTGGTCTTCTATCACGACCGACAAGTGGGTGCTAGATGTAGAGAAGGCCAGATACTGCATTCCTTTTACTGATACCCCTTCCATCCACCCACCATCCCTGTCTCTTTTACAGATTTTTACGGAAAATCAAGCCACAATGTACTACATAAACAGACAGGGCGGAGCCAGATCCTATTGCCTGTGCAAAGAGGCAGCCCACCTATGATCATGGTGCATAGATCACAATGTCCAAATACAAGCCTCTTACTTTCCAACTGCATTCCTTTTACTGATACCCCTTCCATCCACCCACCATCCCTGTCTCTTTTACAGATTTTTACGGAAAATCAAGCCACAATGTACTACATAAACAGACAGGGCGGAGCCAGATCCTATTGCCTGTGCAAAGAGGCAGCCCACCTATGATCATGGTGCATAGATCACAATGTCCAAATACAAGCCTCTTACTTTCCAG